TGTCACACCACACTGATTGTCTGTATATACACCACTATGTCACACCACACTGATTGTCTGTATATACACCCACTGTGTCACACCACACTGATTGTCTGTATATACACCACTATGTCACACCACACTGATTGTCTGTATATACACCACTATGTCACACCACACTGATTGTCTGTATATACACCACTATGTCACACCACACTGATTGTCTGTATATACACCACTATGTCACACCACACTGATTGTCTGTATATACACCACTATGTCACACCACACTGATTGTCTGTATATACACCACTGTGTCACACCACACTGATTGTCTGTATATATATACACCACTGATTGTCTGTATATACACACACCACACTGATTGTCTGTATATACACCACTATGTCACACCACACTGATTGTCTGTATATACACCACTATGTCACACCACACTGACACTGATTACACCACTATGTCACACCACACTGATTGTCTGTATATACACTATGTCACACCACACTGATTGTCTGTATATACTGGGTCTGTCTATGTCACCACACTGATTGTCTGTATATACACCACTATGTCACACCACACTGATTGTCTGTATATACACCACTATGTCACACCACTGGGATTGTCTGTATATACACCACTTGTTCTATCACACTGATTATATATACACCACTATGTCACACCACACTGATTGTCTGTATATACACCACTATGTCATGTCACACTGATTGTCTGATTGTCTGTATATACACCACTATGTCACACCACACTGATTGTCTGTATATACACCACTATGTCACACCACACTGATTGTCTGTATATACACCACTATGTCACACCACACTGATTTGTATATACACCACTATGTCACACCACAACTGATTGTCTGTATATACAACCCACTATAGTCACACCACACATTGTCTGTATATACACCACTATGTGATTGTCTGTATATACACCACACCACACTGATTGTCTGTATATACACACTATGTCACACTGATTGTCTGTATATACACCACTATGTCACACCACACTGATTGTCTGTATTGTCACTATGTATACACCACACTGATTGTCTGTATATACACCACTATGTCACACCAGACTGATTGTCTGTATATACACCACTATGTCACACCACACTGATTGTCTGTATATACACCACTATGTCACACCACACTGATTGTCTGTATATACACCACTATGTCACACCACACTGATTGTCTGTATATACACCACTATGTCACACCACACTGATTGTCTGTATATACACCACTATGTCACACCACACTGATTGTCTGTATATACACCACTATGTCACACCACACTGATTGTCTGTATATACACCACTGTGTCACACCACACTGATTGTCTGTATATACACCACTATGTCACACCACACTGATTGTCTGTATATACACCACTATGTCACACCACACTGATTGTCTGTATATACACCACTATGTCACACCACACAGATTATCTATATATACACCACTATGTCACACCACACTGATTGTCTGTATATACACCACTATGTCACACCACACTGATTGTCTGTATATACACCACTATGTCACATCACACTGATTGTCTATATATACACCACTATGTCACACCACACTGATTGTCTGTATATACTGTGTCACTATGTCATTGTCATATACACCACTATGTCACACCAGACTGATTGTCTGTATATACACCACTATGTCACACCACACTGATTGTCTGTATATACACCACTATGTCACACCACACAGATTATCTGTATATACACCACTATGTCACACCACACTGATTGTCTGTATATACACCACTATGTCACACCACACTGATTGTCTGTATATACACCACTATGTCACACCAGACTGATTGTCTGTATATACACCACTGATTGTCTGTATATACACCACTATGTCACACCAGACTGATTGTCTGTATATACACCACTATGTCACATCACACTGATTGTCTGTATATACGCCACTATGTCACACCACACTGTTTGTCTGTATATACGCCACTATGTCACACAACACTGATTGTCTGTATATACGCCACTATGTCACACAACACTGATTGTCTGTATATACGCCACTATGTCACACCACACTGATTGTCTGTATATACACCACTATGTCACACCACACTGACTGTCTGTATATACACCACTATGTCACACTACACTGATTGTCTGCATATACACCACTATGTCACACCAGACTGATTGTCTGTATATACACCACTATGTCACACCACACTGATTGTCTGTATAAACGCCACTATGTCACACCACACTGACTGTCTGTATATACACCACTATGTCACACCACACTGATTGTCTGTATATACACCACTATGTCACACCACACTGTCACACCACACTGATTGTCTGCATATACACCACTATGTCACACCACACTGATTGTCTGCATATACACCACTATGTCACACCACACGGATTGTCTGTATATACACCACTATGTCACACCACACTGATTGTCTGTATATACACCACTATGTCACACCAGACTGATTGTCTGTATATACACCACTATGTCACACCACACTGATTGTCTGCACACATATATATTGCATGTATCATGTGACCTGTGTCAAACTTTGCTTCAGATAAGTGGATCATCGAAACAAAGACGTAGATGTAAATGGAGTGAACTCGGCTTAACATAGAGTAACAAACAGTTGCTGAAAAAACATATTTACTTCAAGTATATGGTTACATGTGCCCCATATCTATATGTATACACACTGTAACCGACCACACACAACTATATGGTTACATGTGCCCCATATCTATATGTATACACACTGTAACCGACACACAATTATATGGCTACATGTGTCCTGTATCTATATGTATACACACTGTAACCGACTACACACACCTGTATGGTTACATGTGCCCCGTATCTATATGTATACACTCTGCAACCTTCCCACACCTGTATGGTTACATGTGCCCCGTATCTGTATGTATACACTCTGTAACAGACCAAACACAACTACATGGTTACATGTGCCCGTATCTATATGCATACACTCTGTAACAGACCACATACAACTACATGGTTACATGTGCCTCGTATCTATATGTATACACTCTGCAACCTACACACAACTACATAGTTACATGTGCCCCGTATCTATATGTATACACTCTGTAACCGACCACATACAACTACATGGTTACATGTGCCCCGTATCTATATGTATACACTCTGTAACCGACCACATACAACTACATGGTTACATGTGCCCCGTATCTATATGTATACACTCTGCAACCTACACACACCTGTATGGTTACATGTGCCTCGTATCTATATATATACACTCTGTAACCGGCCTCACACAACTACATGGTTACATGTGCCCCGTATCTATATTTATACACTCTGTAACCGACCACACACAACTATATGGTTACATGTGCCCCGTATCCATATGCATACACTCTGTAACCGGCCTCACACAACTACATGGTTACATGTGCCCCGTATCTACATGTATACACACTGTAACCCACCACATACAACTACATGGTTATATGTGCCCCGTATCTATATGTATACACTCTGTAACCGACCACACACAACTACATGGTTACATGTGCCTCGTATCTGTATGTATACACTCTGTAACCGACCACACACAACTACATGGTTACATGTGCCCCGTATCTATATGTATACACTCTGTAACCGACCAAACACAACTACATGGTTACATGTGCCCCGTATCTACATGTATACACACTGTAACCCACCACATACAACTACAACTACATGGTTACATGTGCCCCCATATCTACATGTATACACACTGTAACCACCACATACAACTACATGGTTACATGTGCCCGTGATCTATATGTATACACTCTGTAACCGACCACACACAACTACATGGTTACATGTGCCCCGTGATCTATATGTATACACTCTGTAACCCACACAACTCCTGGCATGGTTACATGTGCCCGTATCTACATGTATACATAACCCACCACACACAATATGTTACATACACTACATGTATAACCTGTAACCCACCACACACAACTACATGGTTACATGTGCCCGTATCTTATGTATACACACTGTAACCCACCACACACAACTACATGGTTACATGTATGTCTACATGTATACACCTGTAACCCACCACACACAACTACATGGTTACATGTGCCCCGTGTATCTATATGTATACACTCTGTAACCGACCACACACAACTACATGGTTACATGTGCCCCGTATCTATATGTATACACTCTGTAACTGACCACACACAACTACATGGTTACATGTGCCCCGTATCTATATGCATACACTCTGTAACCGGGCCTCACACACAACTACATGGTTACATGTGCCCCGTATCTATATGTATACACTCTGTAACCGACCACACACAACTACATGGTTACATGTGCCCCATATCTATATGTATACACTCTGTAACCGACCTCACACAACTACATGGTTACATGTGCCCCGTATCTATATGCATACACTCTGTAACCGACCACACACAACTACATGGTTACATGTGCCCCGTATCTAAATGTATACACTCTGTAACCGACCACATACAACTACATGGTTACAGGTCTCCTAAATCACGTCATTTCTAGATGATAGACGTAATAACAGTGTAGGCACCTCTCATGTTACACATGTAACGGGCTGTAACACTGTATGTATGTGAGCTATAACATGCTGTAGTAACATCGGACGTCGCGGTCAACGCGTCAACACGGCCTGGTGAGTGGGGCAGCTACTTCCCACCGCTAACCAAGCATGTATATGTCACAACTGGACACGTAATGTACATAGTGTAACACAGTCCTGGGTTGTTCTTCAACACACGTGAACAAACCAGGTGTGACCGACCTTCGGCGCGGACCTGCGTTGTCGCCACTAAAATAAAATCTACATGGTCAAAATGTACAAACATTGTTTCTCACCCAGAAAGCCTCGGAGTATTGGGACAGTCGTGTCATCCTGTCGACCGCCGTAGATCACTGTCACTTCGCTGCATAACCAACCCGGAAGTTTATACACCGATCACGTGACATGTGATATGTTTTGTCGCAGCACAGTTGAGATAGTGAAACGCCGGCTTGTGTTGACGCCCCGGAGTGTTATTTATTCCTCTCTCTCTCTCTCTCTCTCTCTCTCTCTCTCTCTCTCTCTCTCTCTCTCTCTCTATATCTCTCTACTCTCTCTATCTCTCTCTCTCTCTCAACAAATTGCAAACACATTCTTAGACAGTTTGGTATATGGTCTACTACATATCACTTTTTCAGCTACACCATTGTACAAAAAACATACAGCTGTTATCTAAATGTGGCACCTTGAATTATAAAATATTATCACCTCATACGTACGTGACTAGTTTTTCTGACTAGAGAATTAAGTGACAATGTGATAAATTATTTGAGTAACCTATCAAATATTCCGCATGAGTTTGGCGATTTAGTAACACACGTCTGCTCAAAAACTTTAGAAGTAATTTGGCATACACATTGTAAATCATTATTACTCACATTGTTTTTTCCAAAATACCAACAAATTGCAAAAACATTCTAAAATCAAACCTGATAACTAGACTAGCCGACAATCTGAGGGCGTAGTAGACAAAAAAACGAGTAGCAAAATATTTGATCGATAGCCAGTTGCAACAACATAAAACTCATGAAAATTACCAGTCACTTTTTGCAGTACAAACAGTAAATATGTAGCCCAACTTTCAATTGTTTCAAATAGGATTTTTATTATGAAGAATAATACTTTTTCTCACCTGAAACATCGCTTAAAACACATCAGCATCGTTTTCTTCAGGATTACAAGATTCTATCGTTTCTTCCTTTACAGTTTTTAGTACTACATAAAGACAATATCAGGGTGATCAATATTAATCATCATAAATTTGGCAAAAGGAACATAACAAGACTGTATCCTCGATCGTTCTTTCTCTAGCAAGGCGGGCCCTTTTGCTTTCTGAATTTACCGATATTCTGTCTGAATTTCTGCTCTACGTTTTCCCACTTGAAATAAGAAACAAATGAGTAACGTATGTATAATACATTTCGATACATACCGTTACCCTATAATTATGCTCTTTCACTTAACAAAGACCCAGGACTAATCCAAATGTTATTACAAATATATAAACTCTGTCTGATAATCTACTAAAGTACCTTTCATTTGTACATCAATCCTTCCATCCCATTAAACAATCAAATATTCATATCAATTTTCATATCATTCAGAGAGGTGACCATCTCTTTCCCAACACATAGCTCATTATGTGAAAATAAAAGGACATTAAATAACACTGATTGCCAGTTTAAGTCAGAATGTTTTTAAAAAAAACAAAGTTTCTGGCTTCAAATGATATGACATTTACGTTTGAAACCTTCAACAAATGTTGTTACCTACGTTACCGTTGATAACGTATGTACCAGTTACTTTAGCATGCCTTGATCGAAAACTGGACCACCAAATGATGCCCTTAGCATCGCTTTCCTGTTTGTTATGATGGTAGTTAAAACACACAATGACAATTTGAAAGAATTACACTTTGTAACATGTTTAACATGACGTCTTTAATTATGCATGGTATCACTGAATTTTAAACAACATTACCTCATCAAACTGATGTGGTTTCTCTCTCAAAATGTGTCTTCTGTTCGATGACTGTCCCCACATGAAGTAGGTATAGCCAAAACCTAATCATATTGTTTCGAACACTTAATTCTGTACTTTCTAGTAACGTATGTAACGGTTACGTATGTATATTTTCAATGGTTTTCATTTTCATTTTTGCAAATTTATACACACAACTGATCGTGACATGAGCTGTTTCACAATGCTAGAAATGTGTGTTGTTGGTATAATGTTTTGAGTGAAGTGTCATAGAAATTGAAGTAATTATTGGCATGATAACGTATGTATTGCTTGATTTCTACGCATCTTGTTTGTGGTGTTGAAAAGTAGTTTTTCCAATACTGAACTATACTTTTACTTAAAACGTGTCGTAATTGATTTGGTAAATGTTTTGAGTATAAATAATTTATTCTGTACTTCACTTAAGCCAGAAAGGTACGCTGCTACACTGCCATCCAGAAAAACACAACGTATGTATCCAAAGTTTTGCGACAACATTGTTAACACTCTATAACTATTCCGATTTGGATGGTTTGCCTTCTTATTCTCATTTGTCCCCGGCCGTGATATTGCTGGAATATTGCTAAAAGCGGCGTAAAACCAAACTCAGTCAGTCTTATTCTCATTTGAATGCAGCGTAATAAGTACATTGTTCTTTAAATATTCAATCTGAAACCCAAACTGAAAAATCAAAATGACAGTATTAACTTCGTCACCGACATGGCGACAGTAACGTACGTATCGTTTTGCCAACTTTGCCTTTTCCTGCAATGCCAATATAAGGACAGATGACCCGAAACAGTGTTTGTTGGCTAGGGCGGGTATAAGACTGTGTGAATAATGCAAATACTTGGCACAATATTTGTTGGATTATGAACAATTGGTTGGCGACATCAATTACACCTCATTAGTGATAATGGGTGTCTAGCAAAGCACTGTGCATGGAATTTGATGTCGCATATCGCGCCTGGCACGCGCACTTTGTCTACACTGAACTTACTCACATTTTGCATGCTTTTTGACGCCTTAAGTTCACACACCTGACATTGAAAGTTTAAGAACGACTGATTATTCTCTAGTCTCTGAATGTTGTTAAAAAACACTTTAATTTTAATCTAAACTGCGCGTACGTCATGCGCGTACGTCATGGAAATCAGCGTCTCCGCGCCGTGGGTATGCTGGAGGCTGGAATGGCCCAAAATGAAGTCGCCAGACATGTTGGTGTCCATCGAAACACGATCTCATCTCTCTGGAGACGTTTTTAGCATTATGGAAACACGGTGTCATCTCTATGGAGACGTTTTCAGCATTATGGAAACACGGTCTCATCTGTATGGAGACGTTCTCAGCGTTATGGAAACACGGTGTCATCTCTCTGGAGACGTTTTCAGCATTATGGAAACACGGTGTCATCTCTCTGGAGACGTTTTCAGCATTATGGAAACACGGTGTCATCTGTATGGAGACGTTTTCAGCGTTATGGAAACACGGTGCCATCTCTATGGAGACGTTTTCAGCATTATGGAAACACGGTGTCATCTCTCTGGAGACGTTTTCAGCATTATGGAAACACGGTGTCATCTGTATGGAGACGTTTTCAGCATTATGGAAACACGGTGTCATCTCTCTGGAGACGTTTTCAGCATTATGGAAACACGGTGTCATCTCTATGGAGACGTTTTCAGCATTATGGAAACACGGTGTCATCTGTATGGAGACGTTTTCAGCATTATGGAAACACGGTGTCATCTCTCTGGAGACGTTTTCAGCATTATGGAAACACGGTGTCATCTCTGGAGATGGATGGACACGGTCATCTCTCTGGAGACGTTTTCAGCATTATGGAAACACGGTGTCATCTGTATGGAGACGTTTTCAGCATTATGGAAACACGGTGTCATCTGTATGGAGACGTTTTCAGCATTATGGAAACACGGTGTCATCTTTATGGAGACGTTTTCAGCATTATGGAAACACGGTGTCATCTCTCTGGAGACGTTTTCAGCATTATGGAAACACGGTGTCATCTCTCTGGAGACGTTTTCAGCATTATGGAAACACGGTGTCATCTCTCTGGAGACGTTTTCAGCATTATGGAAACACGGTGTCATCTGTATGGAGACGTTTTCAGCATTATGGAAACACGGTGTCATCTGTCTGGAGACGTTTTCAGCATTATGGAAACACGGTGTCATCTCTCTGGAGACGTTTTCAGCATTATGGAAACACGGTGTCATCTCTATGGAGACGTTTTCAGCATTATGGAAACACGGTGTCATCTCTCTGGAGACGTTTTCAGCATTATGGAAACACGGTGTCATCTGTATGGAGACGTTTTCAGCATTATGGAAACACGGTGTCATCTGTATGGAGACGTTTTCAGCATTATGGAAACACGGTGTCATCTCTCTGGAGACGTTTTCAGCATTATGGAAACACGGTGTCATCTCTCTGGAGACGTTTTCAGCATTATGGAAACACGGTGTCATCTCTCTGGAGACGTTTTCAGCATTATGGAAACACGGTGTCATCTGTATGGAGACGTTTTCAGCATTATGGAAACACGGTGTCATCTCTCTGGAGACGTTTTCAGCATTATGGAAACACGGTGTCATCTGTATGGAGACGTTTTCAGCATTATGGAAACACGGTGTCATCTCTCTGGAGACGTTTTCAGCATTATGGAAACACGGTGTCATCTCTCTGGAGACGTTTTCAGCATTATGGAAACACGGTGTCATCTCTATGGAGACGTTTTCAGCATTATGGAAACACGGTGTCATCTCTCTGGAGACGTTTTCAGCATTATGGAAACACGGTGTCATCTGTATGGAGACGTTTTCAGCATTATGGAAACACGGTGTCATCTCTGGAGACGTTTTCAGCATTATGGAAACACGGTGTCATCTCTCTGGAGACGTTTTCAGCATTATGGAAACACGGTGTCATCTGTATGGAGACGTTTTCAGACGGTGTCATCTCTCTGGAGACGTTTTCAGCATTATGGAAACACGGTGTCATCTCTGGAGACGTTTTCAGCATTATGGAAACACGGTGTCATCTCTATGGAGACGTTTTCAGCATTATGGAAACACGGTGTCATCTGTATGGAGACGTTTTCAGCATTATGGAAACACGGTGTCATCTCTCTGGGGACGTTTTCAGCATTATGGAAACACGGTGTCATCTCTCTGGAGACGTTTTTAGCATTATGGAAACACGGTGTCATCTGTATGGAGACGTTTTCAGCATTATGGAAACACGGTGTCATCTGTATGGAGACGTTTTCAGCATTATGGAAACACGGTGTCATCTGTATGGAGACGTTTTCAGCATTATGGAAACACGGTGTCACGGTGTCATCTCTGGAGACGTTTTCAGCATTATGGAAACACGGTGTCATCTCTCTGGA